CTCAGTCCCCAGACCTGAATATTATTGAAAATCTGTGGTGTGAGTTAAAGAGAGCTGTCCATGCTCGGAAGCCATCAACCTGAATGAACTAGAGATGTTTTGTAAAGAGGAATGGTCCAGAATACCTTCAACCACAATCCAGACTCTCATTGGGACCTACAGGAAGCGTTTAGAGGCTGTAATTTCTGCAAAAGGTGGATCTACTAAATACTGATTTCATTTCTTTTTGTGGCGCCCAAATTGATGCACCTGCCTGATTTTGTAGCATGGGAGATGGGTGGTCTCGTAGGGTGTCTTGCATTGAAATCTGCTGCAGTGACCCGTTACTGCGTTCACCAGATATCAACACAATTTCGATCCGCTCCTCACGTGTTAACCTCTTCGACATGTCAATGGCTGTGAACAAAGAGAAACTTGTAAATAACTCATGAAAGAATAAAGTTACATTGAAACCAAGCACACCATTGTTTTTCTTGTGACATTACCAATAAGTCTGATGTGTCACATGGCCCTCTTCTTATTGAAAAAACAAAAGTTGTATCGAAGATGGCCGCCTTCTAAATGGCCACCATGGTCACCACCCATCTTGAGGAGTTTGCCACATATACTAATGTGCCACAAACAGGACTTTAATATCACCAACCATTCCCATGTTATTACGGTGTATCCATATAAATGGCCCACCCTGTATATTACTTTCAATGCTGATCATGACATTTTAATTCAAATGCTCTGTGATTTGGTTGGTTTTCATCATACCTAAAGGATAGAAGTGTTTATGGTCCAGTTAGTACCTTCAGTTAGATCTGGAGAAATAGAGATTCAGTCAGGGGTTCCTCAGGGATCAGCTCTTGGTCCAGTACTCTTTAACCTTTACATGTTTTGCATGGTACTATCAGAAAGAAGTTAATGGCCATTAACTTAGAAGTTTCTAAGTTAATGGCCATTAACTTAGAAAAAACCCCCCAAACTTAGATAATTCATATCTCTAACTGACTTCCGAGAAACTGTTTAATTTGGAGGACTATCCAAATCATCAGTAGGATGACTTCAACTCGTTTGGAATGCAGTAGCCACAGTCCTTACACACACATGGAAAAGTTACCATCCAGTTAAAAGATCTGCTCTTGAAGACCTGACAGGTTTAGTAGGGTTTTAGACACTGAGCAAGTCATAGACGATAGGTGCACCCATCCATTTTCTTCCACTTTTCCAGTTCAGGGTCACAGGGAGACAGCACTGCAGCCTATCCCAGCTGTCATGGGGCAGGGTATACCCTGGACAGGTTACCAGTCTATCACAGGGCTAACAGAGAGAGACAGGCAAATATTCGCACATTCACACCTAGTTTAGAGTTGGTAGTTAACCTAACCCCACTACCCAGATGTCTTTGGGGTGTGGGAGGAAGCCGGAGAACCCAAACAGACTGATATTTGACAGTATTATCTGTTTGATCCCAGTTCAACACAAAATTACCTTTAAAATCCTTCTACTAGTTCATTAAGCACTCAGTGATTTGGCCCAATAGTACATCGATGACTTGCTCAGTGTCCATAACCCTACTAGACCTTTCAGGTCACCAAGTCCGATCTTTTAACTGCTGCCAGAATTAGATCTAAGTGTGCTGATGATGCTTTTAGTTATTGTGGTCCTGTTTACTGGAACAATCTGAACTGATCTCTGCATACATTTAAACACAGACTCAGAAACGTTTTATGTTAAAAGCTCTACATTTAACTCTCTTTGTGTGTGTGTGTGTGTGTGTGTGTGTTTTAACTTATAATTTACTTCTTTGTAAAAATGTGCTATATCAGTTTTATGGTATAAAAATTGTATATTCGTTGTATATTCCTGTTTATGCTTTAAGTGTAAAAATCTGAGCCATACAAGGATTCTTGCAGATATATGCATTATTGCAGTTTAAAATAAAACTAAAGCCTAAGTTAAATAATAAAAAGCCTATAAGCATTATGACCATTTTGACCATTAGATGAAAATATAATTTTCTTTTCTTTTACTAGCATGTGTTTGAAAAGCTTTTCTCCTTAACCTTGCTGAGAAATACCGCTAGGTGGCGTAATAAAGCAAGTCGTGGCCTCCGTTACAGAGGCGCAAAGCGGCGATGCTCCAGCTCAACCGAGCCCAGCCCCCCACACGGCAAACCGGCCTGCCTCGGTGCAACAGGGGAGGTAAGCGCGGCTGCGCACGGAGCTCCAGCACTTGCTACTGGCATTTTCACGCACGTCGGACTAAAAGAAAACTAACTGGGAAGTTTATTTGGATAATTTTGAGATGTCGCTAATATACCCCAAAGGCCGGCGTCTTCCATAGGTTTTATTATATCAGTATTAGCTAACGGCAGCTAGGCACAAAGACGTGCATCTATACTAGCCGATGCTGGCTAACTAACTAGCTTGAGGACATCCTACTATCATACTCGGGTTAATCTCTGCTGACTCGCTCTCTGTGCTGCGTTAGCTGTTTCGTTGTAGCCGTTTTATCTGTACCACAAGTCAAGTGGCTGTGTGTGTTTTTTGCAGTCGCCACTCATGAGTGCGACACTTGGAGCAGCCTTTCTGCGTAGCGGGCTTGTTTCGTGGTGCATGTTTTCCAGCTAGCCGCGGCAGAGCTCGGGTCTGATTCGGGGGATGTGGTGGCAGTAGAAAAACAAGCTAACGATACTCTCGTCAGTACGAAGAAGTGAGGAAACACTTGATCCGAGTGGGAGTTCTCGTTTTCTTTTTTTCGTTCATTCTTTCTTTTTTTTTTTTCGTTGTTGTGTACGTTGATCGTGATCCCGGGCTGGATGACGCTGACGCGGACCTGACAATCACTGGACACGGCTGAACTGAAACGGGGAATATCGCTAACAGATCGAAAGGATTATTTTGTGTCCCTTAAGTGGATTTCGGCCTCTTGTTAAGGATCTTCGTGTGAGCACAGCAAGCGTTTGACCCTCCAGCAAAAATACCCTCTCTCCTAGAGCGACCTTTTACCCCCACAGCTTCACCCTCCGATGCGGAGATTGCAGTAGCACCGGCAACCAGACCCCCCTCCCCTCCGGCGGCCGGACATGCTGAAGTGTATCCCCCTGTGGCGCTGCAACCGCCACGTCGAGTCGGTGGACAAGCGGCATTGCAACTTGCAGACGGTTCCTGATGAAATATTTCGATACAGCCGCAGTTTGGAGGAGCTTCTCCTTGATGCCAATCAACTCAAAGAGCTACCAAAGGTATGCAGAGAATTTAAAACACCCATAGACCAATACCCAGAGGGTGAGTCAGTGCATGTCACTGCGCCAAATCCACATTTGCTAACAGTTGAGAATCACTCACCTGTTGTAGAGAAAAAGGTGACATAACCAATAAAGCAGTTTGCATAATGTCAGCTGCTCAGGTACTTCCTCCTTATCAGTGCTGCCTCATTCCTTGCTTGGAAATGAGTTGCAGTGTTGTAACAACACATTCATTACAAAGTTGTGCTGCACATATATATGTTAGTGGATAGTGGGGCCAGTAATCAGTCCTTCTACAGTCAAAGCCATTAGTTGGTGTTACCTTATTTGCAATGGATTTATCCTGGCTTTTCTATTTTTTAAGTATATAAGTGAATTAAATCCTAAGTAAAAAAAAACCAAAAAACCCCAATCCAGTATCATTTGTGTGTTTTTTGTCAAGAACAGTAGAGTGCTGATAAGCCAGAGTTTATCAATAGAAGAAAAAGTAGAGTATGGCGTAAATACTGGGGTGTTATTGTCTGTTAAGAAGAGTATAGAGGGTAGATGGACTAGCTCGGATCAAAACAGCTGGCATGCACAGTGTTGCCTGTAGCATTGGCCAGTTGGATTGGATGCAGCCTCTTGAAGGCATGCGTGGAATGACTTGCAAAGCCATCCCCACCCACACTCCCACAGTTTGAAATATGACAAAAGTTCTCTTTGCACTGCTCAGTTTATTTTAAGGGGAGCAGGACTGCTGTCGGTATGATTTCTTCAGATTTGCGGAACAAAACATTTGCTTCTTGCCTCTCAAGTGTTTAGTTGAAAACATTGTTCATCGGTAAGACCAGTGATTATCGTGATCGTCATGTTGCTGGGAGTATGTATGAATAGACATTGTCTGTCTTTATTTCACAACTTTAGCTTTAGTGGTGAAAGGGACGAGTGGCATATTCACCGATAAAGATTGTTAACAACTCAAGGTCAGCCGAGGCTGAAGTGTTGGCACCGGACCACCTGGGAATCAAAACACAATAGAGATTTTTGTTATTTTCTCAGAGCAGTAGATACACATTCATTGCAGGAACCACTGTTGACCATTTATCCTACAGTCTTTTGGTAAATAAAACTGATATTCAAGACAAGAAAAAGGGGACAACCATTATCATATTTTCATTTAAAGTAGCTTTGCATGATTGAAAGTTTAAAATAATCCACATTTATCTTACACTGTGCATTGGTGCAGCCCTTGAGATTGTAACCGTTTGAAATAAGCCACTTTAGTTTCCTTTACTATCCAGTCAGAGCCAGCTTTTTGTGATTGGCTGTCTCTTGCAAACAGAGAGACAGCCTATCACTGTCTCGCTGTAATCAGTCATCAAGGATCCAAGTTAAACTTTACATAAATAAGGAAAAAAACAAACAAACCTTAAAATATTTCTGTTCCACCCCACAGTCTGAGAACTACAGGTGTAGACTTATTTGGGCAATTTTTGTATTTTATTTCCTTTTCTTCCCTTAGTTTTTTTTTTTAAACTACTCTCTTACTGCCTTAGGAATTAAAATCTTGTAGGTTTTCTATTGTGCATGGAGAAAAAAATCAGCTGAACTATCTTAGCCTAGTTTGCCTGATCAGGTTCACTGGCAGACAGAGTGCTTTTCCTCGACTTCGTACCTGACAGACATCCACGGTGTACCTGGTTCCTGTCCTCTGAAACACAGAGTGACAGATACACCCAAATACTCCGGCACAGACGGCTAACCGACTGAGCCTGTCTGCGTGGCGCTGGCTTCAATCGAGAGACATAAATGTGTGGTGACAGAATGTCTCCTGTGGTCACGGTAAATGCGTAGCGTGCAGACACGAAGCATCTGGGTGCTCTGTGGTCCTCAGAATCAGCGGGGCTTCAGCGAGGAAGCGGCGCAAGGGGGTCAGGTCAATACAGGGTTGGAAACAAGGACACTGACTGTATGATGAATGGCATTGCCACTATGAGCTCACAGCTGAGTGCCTCTGTGCAGTTCTGTGCTCCTGCCCTGTCACTATGTATTCAAGTCAGAGATGACTTTGTGGACCTACTAGTCAGTCTTCAGCTATTTTTAGACTCAGTCTCACATCCTAGTTGTTTGTTTGTTTTTTCTTCTGTTGCTCATCAGTTCATCATGTGAGTCTGTGAACGAGCCAACCTTTCATATGACAAACAGCCTGGACAGCCTGGCCTGCTTTTTTCCTGCACCACCTTGTACAACGTGTGCCATAGATGGAGAATAATCGGCTCAGGGGGTGACACCTCTGCAAACTGTCACTTCTTTTAAATTAGCAAAGACGCGCTGGCCAGGTGTGTGTATGTGATAGGTCATGTATTGAAAAAGATTCAAGCACCTTTTCACAAACTATAGATTCTGAAATGCAGTTAACTGCTTTTAAATTGGTAGTGAAGAATAAAGCAGTCAAGATGTAGCAGTAATTAGTGTCACGCTGGGTGTGCATGGGTCTGGATGCTGTTGGTAGGGGTTTAACGGCGTGAACAGATGGGAGATTTGCACGCCCCATCTTGACAGTTTCTTAAGTTTGCTATGACTTGGCCCCCACCGCACTGCTCACTGTTATCTCTGGTGATGATGTCTCCCATTTCCTAATTCAAGAGCATCTTATCCGGGCACTGATTATTTTATGTAGAACAGTAATAGCATTAAGTTTGACTTATGTGTGTGGACTGGGTTTAGAGAGCCTTTTAAGTCAACCACTGGATGGGGATTCCCCACATGTTCATACATCCTTAGTTGTTAATGCCACTCTCTTTCTCATGACAGGGAGTCCTTAATCATGCATTTGTTTTGCTGCTGGGTTCCTTATTGTGTAAATTACCATGTAGTTTGACTGTCAGGGTTTTCCTGACTTAAGACGGGCCTTTGGTGGGTGACTACACATGTAAGCTGGATTTGTCTGCAGAAAACTTCTAGGAAAACCCCGAGTATAAAAGGCCAAATTCTCCTGAATCCAAAGCAATGCTAGAGAAATCATTGATCTTAATTAAAGTTTAATAAAAGTCATAAATTGTAAAATGAAATGTAGTAGTGTCTCAACTTTCAGCTCTGTATTCTCAGCAAGGATGTTTGCTGTCTGAATTTCTTTTTAGCTGCTTTGAAAATATAGCCTAGGCTGGAATATCATATGGAGGAAGAGGGAATAATCTTTTTAGCCACTCTCAAGTCCCATGACAGGTTACAAAGAAGTCCATTCACCCATCTGATTTCCTCCCATATCCAGTGTCATAGCTCTTCATGTTTCCTGTGTGCTCTGTGTTGGCCTTCACCAGGCTTACACTAAATCTGCAAGCATATCATGATTCAAATGATCAATTTTAAGATTGTGTGTGTGTGTATCAGTTACACCTGCCAAAATCAAACAGCACTTTGCTGCTGTTTGCAGCTTTTCAATATATGCACTTGCTCTTGCTCTTCTATTGTTGAACTAGGGAACAAATCCTAACTGGGTGTGCCCCGGTAAGACTTTGCCAAACAGGTTTTATGCATGTCACTGCCGGTGTTGTTGCCTAATAGGGCCTTCCAGGTACAACTGAAGGTAAATGTTACAATAATTTATATGATTTGCTGTCTCAACACTGCTCAAAACCAGTTGTACGACGAATATGTTATTAAATAAGTGCATTATTTAGTTGTCTGTCATAGCTGTGAATGCACTGCTTTCTTGTTTATCTCCTTGATTGAATAAACTTGTAAGGTTTTATTTTAACTTGGTAAAGTTATGAGTGCAGATATTTAGTTTTGAATGGAGACAGGATGTAAACGTGGTTGTTAAATAGGAAGGGTGACGTTGTAGTCTTTTAAATCCTCAGCTGTCACCCTCTCTGTATGTGCTGACAGATCTGTGGCTAAAGGGCAGATTAGGGCTTCACCCGGCCATGAAAAAGCCCCGCAGCACAACAGTTGTGACCCCTGCATGCAAGCCGGCGCGCCTCTTCCTGTGGTATCTGCTTCTTTGCCACTTTGCGAATGTAAAATGCATTGATAAACATCTTGAGCACCATTCTCCTGACTCCCTTGTGTTTATTCGGCCTTCGGTCAAATGAAACCCAAAGTGGCCTATTCACTTAACCTTGACTAAATGTGAATCAGTTTACACGAGTTTGAATGGGCAAGTGTATCTTATGGAAAAGCGATTGTACCCATCTTCTGTGTAATCCTTAATAAAGGTATAAGAGAACATCACCCTGACTGGAATTTATAGCCTGAAGTGGGATGCTCACTAAGTTTTAGTGTCATAATCCAGGACGTGTATATTTCACCCTGTGTCCTCTTGAGTTATGCATTCTGTCTCGCCTCCCCGAGTTTCCAGTTAACTTTACAGTGGAGTCCTGGTTTGTCTCTCCCCTGCGACTAGCTGAAGTAGGCTAGGGCCAAAGATAAATTGCACCTGCCGGTGGCCTCTCTGCGGTAAAACGAAATCTGGCTTTTCTGCTTTCCCTGCTGTTCATAACGTAGGGTAAAGCCGGCGGTGCTGTTGTCCACACAGTGTAAACGTGTCCACATCTTAAGACAAACAGTAATATCTCCTCTTTGTGAAATTGACCCAACCCACTGTGGTTGTGAGAAAGCAGAAGTAATATTTTGCAATCACCGTTATCGTCATCATAATCACCACCCCGCTTAAAATTGAAAACACATCCAGAGCTGGTGAGAATATGAAGAAAGAGCAATGTGAGAGGTCTGTTTCTTTTTGATGCACAAGCTCATTCAGCAGGTTTCTTTGTCTGAGCTGATGACCAGCTGGTCTCACATCCTGCCTGCCCCTCCCCCTCAATCTAGTGGGACAGAGGGGTAATGGGAGGTGTATGTCTGAGCGAGAGAGTGAGTATATAGTGGTGATTGGAGGGGGTTATTCCGGAGATGGATTAACAGGAGTAGGGGGGTTCTGTGAGTTGAGCTGAGCTCCACTCATCCTCACTCCTCTGGGGGTCTGGTGGGGTCATTCATCAGTCCATGACGTGCAG